CCCCCCCCCCTTCTCCCTCAGTCCCAAAGCCCAGGCCCCAAACCCTCTCCTCCCTGGTATGCAGGAGTCCAGGCTCCCGCCCCCTCTTCATTCAGACCAGGGGTCAAGGATCCGGCCCCCTCCTCTCAGACCCAGGATTCAGGGCCCCCAGCTCCCTCCTCCCGCAGACCCAGACGTCGGAGCCCCCAGTCCTTTCTGCTTCAGACCCAGGAGTCACAGCTCTGAGCTCCCCTCCCTGGCCTGTGAACCCGAGATACCAGCCCCTCCTCGCTCACTAATTTCCCTCCAGCCCCTCAGCCTCTCCTCAGTCAAGCCCAGGGGTGCTGGGTCAGCGCAGGTGCCCGAGGGGGCGGAGCAGGAGGCGGGGATTCCCAGTTAAAAGGCCCCAGGTTCCTGTACCAGGCGGAGTTGAAGCCTTGGGACCTCTTCCTCTCGGTCCGAATCAGTAGGTGACCCCGCCCCCCGGACTCTAAATTCTCAGACGCTGGCATCTGGACCTGGGGCCCCTCCTCCTTCAGGTCAGGACTTTAACCTCAGATTCCTTCCTTTCTCAAGACCTGGGAATCTGAGCTCCAGCCTCCTTCCCCAAGATTCAGGAGGGGTACAGGATAGTAACTTTCTCCTCCTGGGAAAGTAGAAATCCAGACCCCCCCAGTGCCCTCCCTCCTCAGGCTCAGGAACCTGGGGCCCTGCCCCTTCCCACCTCAGATCCAAGAATCTGGGTCCCAGCTCCTTCCTTCTTCAGGACCCCGAAGAACAGCTTTGGATGCACTGCTCCCTCCCCAATCCCAACATCCTACCAGGACTGCAGGCTCCTCCCCACCCCTCTCAGCTGCACTCCCCCAGGCCCCAGCCAGGGACACCCACCACCTGCTGCAATGCGCACCTGGATAGTCCTGCTCCTGCTGTTGGAAGCCTGCGCAGGTAAGGAGGCCCACAAGGCACCGGTGGCGTGGGTGCAGGCCATGGGGGCTGTGTGGGCACCCGAGGTGGGGTGTTGGATGTGTGGAGTGTGATCGCATGTGGGGGCTCCTGTGGGCTGGCTTTTCCTGGGGGCAGCAGGTAGGAGTGTGTCAGGTGACGCTACACATTTGATTGAGCACATCAAGCCTTCCGGGCCACCTGCTGAGGGCTGCAGATGCACAGGAGAGTGCAGGAGCATGTGGACGCGTGTGGGAGCATGTGGGAGCATGCTCCGGTGTGTGATTCTGTGTGATGACTCATGGGCTTCAATGAATGTATGTGTGTATGCGCGTGGAAGCATGTGCAAGCCGGGGCCCCACATGTGAGGGTGTGTGAGTACACGAGGAGGCAGGCCAAGAACCTGGGGTGTGTCCCTCTGAACCCACAGTGGTTTTCTTTCACTCCTCCTCCCTCATCCCCCTACAGTGTCCCAGGGGTGGCGACCCAACTCTCTCCCTCCTGCTGCGGGACACTGGAGGGCACAGGAGAACAAGGTGCTGGGGGGTCAGAAGTGCGAGCCCAGTTCGCAGCCCTGGCAGACGGCCTTGTTTCAGGGCAGCCAGCTGTTATGCGGGGGTGTCCTCATAGATGACTACTGGGTCCTCACGGCAGCCCACTGTAAAAAACCGTGAGTGGGTGCCTGGGGCAGAGGAGGGCTGGGCCTGGTGAAAGCAGGGGCTGCTGATTTGCCTTGCGAAAGAGAGAGCTGGGTCAGGCCTCTAAGAGAGGAGGTCTGAGAGAAGAGGGAGCTCGGGGCCTGGACTCCTGGGTTGAGGGAGGGGCAGCTGGGGGCCTGGACTCTGGGATATGAGGGAGCTGTAATGATGGGGCTGGGTCCCACACTAACCCCATCATCACAGGAGGTACACGGTCCACTTGGGAGAGCAGAGCCTGAAGGACAGGAAAGGGCCAGCGCAAGAAAAGGCTGTGGCCCAGTCCATCCCACACCCCTGCTACAACGGCAACAACGACGACCACAGCCATGACCTGATGCTCCTTCGGCTACGTGATCCAGCGTCCAGAGGGCCCACAGTGAAGCCCATCAATCTGACAGATCACTGCCCTCAAGTTGGCCAGAAGTGCACCATCTCGGGCTGGGGCACTGTCACCAGCCCCGAAGGTAGTTGGAGGGAAGGAGGAGCTGGTTTGCCCAGTGGACCCCAAACCATTGGCAAAACTCTACCCCTAAAAGGAGCTGAGGAGGGAAAAATGATGGGGTTGCAGTTCACAAGTGGCCCACGTTAGAAACCTTGAAGGCCAGAACATTAGCAAGAGTGCTGGGAGAAAGAAGGCAAAGTAACACATTGTTAAGCGGGGCTCAGAAATATGGATGGATGAATGAATGAATGAATGAATGAATGAATACATCCCTCCTTTACCGTGGAGGGTACCATGTTACGAGAGCTCCGTTGTGCAGGATTTTATATAATCTCATTAGTAGACTTGGGACACAGCCCAGCCAGCGTGGCTCAGCGGTTGAGCATCGACCTAGGATCCAGGTGATTGTGGTTGGATTCCTGGTCTGGGCACAAGTCCAGGTTGCGGGCTCCATCCCCAGCAGGGGGCGTGCAGGAGGCAGCTGATCGATGACTCTCATCATTGAGGTTTCTCTCTCTCTCTCCCTCTCCCTTCCTCTCTCTGAAATCAATAAAGACATATTTTTAAAAAATAGACATGGGATACAACGGATTTGCAGTGGCCCAAAAAACCAGACTTCCCATCCCTTTTTTCCTCTTGTACTGTTAATACTGATGCCAGGTTACTCACAGTCCAGGCCCCTCCTATCCCAAGACCCACTGTCTAGGTTCCCAGCTCCCTCCTCACTCGGGACCAGAAACTCTGGACCTCCACTGATGTCCTCCCTTTGGGACTTTGGAGACCAGGTAGCCCCTTGTCCTGCCTCACAGTGAAGAAGTTGGGGCTCAGCTCAGAGAGGCGGTGTGACTCACCAGGAAGCGGCACAGCCAGGATTCAGGTCCCTGCCTGTCCGACTCTCACTTCTAAGGAGACCGGGGAAGGCTGTGGAAACCCACCTGCTCGTGCACCAAGCAGGTCCGATCTCTCAGCCTCACCTTCCTCATCTGCAAAATGAGGAAAACTAACTGATAGACTTTTAAGCTCCATAAGGGCTCGTGTTACATGTATTTTATTCATTAGGTGTTCCTAGTGCTCACAGGGGTGCTCAGAAAATATTTGTTGGATGATTATGTGGATGAGTGAAGATGAAATGAATGAGTCCATCCATCCCTCCTTTCGAAAGCTGTGTGAAGATGTGAACATATAGCTTCTGGCTCCTAAAGGTGCCAGATAGACATTTCCCCCCTCAAATCTGTTGCTCAAAGGCTAACAAGAAAGATGAATTCCAATTCCAGTCGTTAATTCTTCTTTTTTAAAATATATTTTTGTTTATTTCAGAGAGAGAGGAAGGGAGAGGGAGGGAGAGAGAGACAGAAACATCAGTGATGAGAGTCATTGATCGGCTGCCTCCTGCACGCTCCCTGCTGCGGATGGAGCCCGCAACCTTGACATGTGCCCTGACCGGGAATCGAACCTCGATCTCCTGGATCATAGGTTGATGCTCAACAGCTGAGCCACGCCGGGCTCCAGTCATTAACTCAACACTTACTTGTGAGGATCTGGCAGCTCCAGGTGCTGTGCTGTATGAGTCCTGTCCTTACAGAGTTGCACGCCAGGTGGGGGAAATGGGCAATGAACACATACATATAACATGAAATACGAGCTAGAGTTAAGGGCTGTATTGAAATATCGTGGATGGTAGGAAGACAGGGAGTCGCAGAGGTGTGGTGTTTTAATTAAGATGGTCAGAGAAGGCTTCTAGGAGGAGGTGACTGTTGGGAGAAGTAGGATTTAGCTGAGATTGAGAACCTAGTGGTCTGGGGGTGGGAAGACTAGAGAAAGTGGGACAGATGTGCCACAAGGGGGCACCTCCAACTCCTCCAGCCCCCTGATTCTTACATCCAGACAGGGATAGAGGGACAAGGTTGCTCTCTCTGGGAACTTACAACCTCTATCTACCCCCTCTCCCACCCCCAGAGAATTTTCCTGAGACCCTCAACTGTGCAGATGTAGAAATCTTTCCCCAGAAGCGGTGTGAAGATGTCTACCCTGGGAAAGTCACAGAGGGTATGATCTGTGCAGGTGACAGCAGCGGGGCTGACTCGTGCCAGGTGAGCGACTTCCTAATTAACTGATCAAAGTTACTTCTGCATTAACCAACCTGAAACCCCTTCCTCCCCTCCTCCTTTACCCCTGTAGAGGCTGGAGGCATGGCAGCGGGTGACCCTGAAAGGTTAGCGCTCAGAGAGGTTGTTCCCATCTCTGTAAAGGGGGAAGAAGATCAGAGAAGGCCATACTCTCCCTGCAGGTCACACAGCATGGGAACAAGAAGCCTTGAATAGTCGTTGTTGTTTTTATGGACACCCCTGTCTGCAGGATGAGGTTCAGAGAGGGAGTCGTGAAGGGGGTGAGAGGACGTTTCCACGAAGGAGAGGGGCTGAGGCCAGAGGACACACAACCTTCCACTCCCTTCCTGACACTTGTGCCCACTCTGCCATCAACCAGCTAGTCGGCCACTTTGGTTTGGCACCTGACTGGGTCCCCAGCACAGCTGCCTGCTCCCGGGATTGGTTTCTTGGGGAGCAACGCTCTCTTCCCAGTTTTCCAGAGAGTGGTGTCATGGAATTCAGTGCTCCTTCAAAGACGCCCGGTCCCCAAGTGACAGATCTTGGGGTTTGCCATAGATATAACACTCTCTTTCCTACTGGCTGCCGTTCCGTTCCATCCTCAGGGCTCTTCCTGGCTTTGTCCCCTTCGTGGAAGCCTCACCCCCTTTGCCAATGATTGGACCCTGAAGACAATGCTCCACTGCTTCTTCCCCATTGGCCAGGAACACGGTCATTAGTCATTCCATCACTGATCCTGCCTTGAAACCAATTTCTCTGGATGGTTCTTAGAGACAATGGTTTCTTCCCTCAGAGTTTCCTGCAGTTGTCCTGTGCGTGTGTGCGCGTGTGTGTGTGTGTGTGTGTGTGTGTGTGTGTGTGTGTCCACAGAACCCTGCTCCTTTCTCCTGTGTTTGGTAACTGGATTCAGTGATCCGTTCACCAAAAGCCAAGAATGGAGGACACATCAGCTCAGGTCCTGATGTCTTCTCTCTAGATTGGACCCTCCAGAGCATTCTCTTCTCTCATTGGCCAGGATTTCCCTCGTGGTCCTTACATGATCTGTCTGTTCTCTTGTATGTGGAAGGCCCCACCCCTCTCTCTCAACCTCTCCCTCATCCTAGCCAAGGGTTGGAACCAGGGGACAATGCTCTTATCCCCAGTGGCTGGAGCGGACCAATCATGGTACAGAGCTGGTGCTAAATGCTGAGCACAGCTGGGCATCGTAGGTGAAACTGTCCCCTTACCCCCTCCCCGCAGGGTGATTCCGGGGGCCCACTGGTGTGTGGTGGCGTTCTCCAAGGTATCACATCCTGGGGATCGGACCCCTGTGGGCAGCCCCAGAAACCTGGCGTCTACACCAACCTCTGCCGCTACCTGGATTGGATCAAGAAGACCATGGGCAGCAGGAGCTTAGCCTAGGACAAGCTTTGGATCCCCCTCAATAAACCCAAAACTATGGCCTGGCTCTTTGCCTGTCTTGCTTTGGCCCTGCTGGGAGGGGTGGAGGGACAGGATCTGTGCCCTGATGGGAGGCTTGGCAGGAGCTCTAGAGAGACCAGGACCCCGTGGCCACTCTGGCCATCACCACTGCCTGAAGGGACCCCTTTTACTTGGAAGGACTTGGAGGAAAGAAAGGCTAATTTCAGGGGATGGAAGACATGTAAGAGTTTTCTAATATCCAATGGCCTTTCCTGTGAAAATCAGGCTTGAAAGAATTTATGTTTCCTTTTCCTGAGCAGTGAAAGTGTTTTTGCCCTTTGAGGGGAGATTCTTCTTCCCCCATTGTTAAAATTTTGAGATACGCAGAGTAGGGCGGAGGAAGTATATTGACAGCTTAAATATGCAATCATGAACACCCATAAACCACCACCCAGGTGAAGAAATAGGACCTTGACAGCCCTCAGAAGTCTAAAAGGCCGATTTTTGTTCCTACAGGAGAAACAGCAATCTTTCTCACAACTTAGAGCCGTCAGGGATCAATTGCTCTGGTAGAAGGATGCAAGGGCACATCAGTGCCGGTGTCCAAATTGAAGTGTAGAGAAGAGGAAATTTGGGACAGTTGTTGGGAAAGATGTATGTAGAGTGGGTAATTGTTGTGAGGCTATAAATAAATTGCAGCAAGGTGGAGACTGGCTCTCCTCTACATCCATCTCCTGGCTCTTCCAGTACATTCTATGACTTTCTTGCTAACAACCATTTAACTCACCTATTGGACACTATAACTCCTTTCTCTACTGCTTCTGCGTTTTCATAGTGTCTGCTCCCTCATGCCCTCCATTTCTCGCTCTACTTCATAACCTTTCCACTCTACCTTCAACCATCAACTGCTCCATTCTCCCAGAATTTATTTATTTATTGAGAGATTTGTTGTTCCACTCATTTGTGCATTCATTGGTTGCTTCTTGTATGTGCCACAACTGGGGATCGAACCCCCAACCTTGGGGTATGGGACAACGCTCTAAACAACTGAGCTACCTGGCCAGAGCTCCCAGGATTTCTCAGATAGTATTTTCATGAAAGAAAATCCAATTGGTCCAGTTCAATTTTTCTCCTTCAGCCACATCATAGGTCACTGAATGGCCAATGGTTCAACTGCATTCTGGTCAGGTGACCAACCCTATCCAATCAGTGGGTATTTAGAGTCAAGTTCTATGAGAATTGTGGATGGAGTGATTCTCCCCAAGGGGCCTCCCTGACCTCCAGGAAAGTCCCCTAATACCAGAAGTTGGGAGGAAGTCTTTTATGCCAGACACTAAATCCCTGGTGCCAGGGATGTGTGCCTGCAGAGGCTACCCAAGGCTCATCTCAACCTAAAGAATAGTTGAGATTTGGAAGCAGCCCAAGTGCCCATCAGCACATGAGTGGATAAAAAGGCTGCAGTACATTTATACAATGAAATACTACTCACCCGTAAAAAAGGAAAAAAATCTTACCCTTTGTGACAGCATGGATGGACCTGGAGAGCATTATGCTAAGTGAAATAAGCCAGTCAGAGAAAGACAAATACCACATGATTTCACTTATATGTGGAATCCAATGAACAAAATAAGCTAACATAGTGGAGGCAGACTTGTGGATACAGAGAATAGACTGACAGCTGTCAGAGGGGAAGGGATTGGGGGCTGGAGGAGAAGAGTGAAGGGATTAAACAAAGAAAAAAAAAAAGACTCATGGACACAGACAACAGTATGGTGATTGCCAGGGGGAAGGGGGGAGGTAGAAGAGGGTGATATTAGTTAATAAAAATATATAGGTTTCAGGTATACAATTCTACAATATATCATCTGTATATTGTATTGTGTGTTTACCACCCCAAGTGAAGTCTTCTACAACAAACACAACAAACTTACTTATCACACCATACAGAGTTAAGAATAATTCCTTCATATCACCCAACATCTAGGTAATATTTAAATGTCCCCAGTGGAATATAAACCAGAGAGGACTTGAAGATTGGTTTCTGGTATTAAGTGGGTGGGTGGGTGAGGTCAAGGCAGTGAAGGGGCTTGTCCAAGGTCAACAGAAAACTCAGGGATAGAATTGTGGACTGTGGCATCTGGCAGAGGATCAGAGGACAAAACATAGACAAAACCCTGAAGGACTCACATAGACAGGGAGCTTATTTCAGCCTTAGTCAGGCACCTATGGAATATAAATGTCAGAGCCTCAGTTCAAACTGGCTTATGCATAAGAGAGGTTGGATTCACAGGTGGCTAAGAAGCCTGTGGGCATGGCTCCATGATGACAGAGGAAGTAGCATGGGTACAGGAGTCTCAAGTTGTTTAAATGGTAACTTAAGTCAGTCAGCACCCCTTTTTGTCTTTCTGGGACACTCTCTCTCACTCTGCCCGCCTCTCTCTGCCTCTGTTTCCCTCTCCCACATCTCTCAGCTGTTCCTCATCTCTTGTGTATCTCATTCTAGCCTCTGTAGATTTGGAGGGAACATAGCAGCTACAGATAGACCCAGTTAAGCAAACCCAGCAAAAACAATGACCTCCTACTCCTGGCATCTTGATATTAATCCCAGGGAAGAACTCTGATTGGTCCAGCTTGAACAGATCCCTCCCCTTAAATCAATCATTATTTCCTGGGAAGAGACCGTGCTCTGGGCCATGTATCTATTCCCAAAGGGTGGGAGGGCTTAGAGAAGTATAAGCAGTTTCACCAAAAAGATATGAGGGGACAGCTTCACAAGAAGTGGGAAGATGTTATTGAAAGACAGGGAAGTAAATCCAGAAAGTTAGAAACAATTGGCCTTCAGAACCATTTTCACACCCTTTTGCACACTTATGAAATAGGCCTTTCTGTTTTCCTTCTTCCCTTTCTTCTTCCCTCTCTCTCTCTCTCTCTCGTTTTATGGAATGGGAAAACTGAGCCTGGGAAATGTAGAGAAACACTCCATTGTATCAGTGGGGGCAGGAGGCAGAGTTAGGGTTCAAAATCAATTACATTTTCTTTTCCTGTCTCTCTCTTAAGGTCTCCTCTCCCCAACCTTAGCTCTTCAGAGGTTCCCACCTGTATTTTTCAGGTTCTAAAAGGGCACAGGCACAGAAAGGGAAATGGAAGGAAGGAGATACCCCATGGCTACGTCCACATGCAGTTTGGTACATGCTCTTTCAGATTTTATTCTGTGAATATTTCATTTTATATGGTGAGGATCACATGCATATACATTTGTTGTTGTTAAACCTTACCTGAGGATATTCTTTCCACTGCTTTTTAGAGAGTGGAAAGGAGGGGGGAGGAGGTAGAGAGAGAGCGAGAGGAAACATGATGTGAGAGAGACACATCCACTGGTTGCCTCTTGCATGTGACCCCATCGGGGCTGAGGAGCGAACCCGCAACCCAGGTATAGTGCCCTTGACCAGAAATTGAACCTGTGACCCTTTGGTGCTTGGACCAATGCTCTAACCATGAGCCACATGGGCCAGGGAGCATATATAGTTTTGTATCTTCCTTGTTTTCATTTAAGATCAAATAGCATACACATTTTTGCATTACACTAACAATTGTGCATAATTATTATCCTGAACAGCTTTGTTAGTATCTTGTCCTACATCAGTTTACTGTTTACATAAACAATTCAATAATTTGAGACATGTTCAGTGTTCCCACTGTTTTGCTGTGACAATGTTGTGATAAATTCAAACCTTACCCAACATTTTGGATTTAGTAGAATTACTAGGTCAAAACTGTTGAATAAGACTCTGGACTCCCCTTGCCCAGCTGCTTTCCATAAAAATTGTGGCGGAAGCTGCGGGTCTCACCGCATCTTTATCAGCACTGAGGTTTTTGTGTTTGTTTGTTTTGCTGATAGATTTTTGTTAACTTTAATTTAAAAAAAATTTTTTAATCTTTATTGTTGAAAGTATTACAGATGTCCCCCATTGATCCTCTCTGCCCCTAATTTTAATTTTTTAGTAGAATATTGTTGAGGTTTGAATGTGACTTTGAAAAAAATGGTCAAGTCAAATATGGCTGTAAGTCATGAATGTCTTTATTTCTGTGAAGTTCCTGTTCAGGGCACAGGGACCGAGAGAGGGGCGTTTGGAGATTAGGAATTCTTTCTCATGGTTTCATATATCCACTTGCTGTACCTGCAGACACGGGTGTAGATGACCGGGTCGAAGGGTGGTCGACAAGGGAAATAATTGGAGGACACCAGGCCTTGCAAGGAACCCTGGCACATCAGGGGGCTCCCTAAGTCACCCTGGGGGGGAGAGAGCAGATTAGCTTGGGGTTCAGAGCCGCTAGCGCTGAGGTCTCCGGCGGCCCGCGGTGATCACGTCTGGGTCCAGCCCTGTCCAATGGGAAGAGACGCATCGTCTCTGTGGACCAATGGGAGAGCAGGAACGAACGCTCTCAGGCCCGGACAAACCAGGTTCCTGAAGACATTGGCTGGAGCCCCGGCCAATCACAGGGAGGGGGCGGAGCTTTCAGGAAGTCAGAGCCTCGCTTTTCCCCAGCGACTGGGAGAGGGAGCCTCGGCTCCAGGGAACCTGATGCCTTCTCGTACC